CTGAGACTGTTCAGGTATAAATAGCCATCCATGTTCCCAAACACTCTCCTTGCATCTTGTTGACCTGAAGGAGAGCCCATGAATGAAGTTATGAAGTTAAACATGGGTACAAGGTCCTTGTTGAGGATGGTTGTCGGAGGCCCCTGGCTCCAGAAATCTTGCACCAAAATATCCAAGGTATTTGAGTGACACAGCTCCACCACCCTCAAGGATGACCTGACTAGCTAAAGAAAATCACCCTAACAATTATCTTCTCTGTCTCAAAATCCAATCACAAAGCATTTTGCTGTTGAGTCATTTACGTGCAAATAGTTCAATAAATAAAGTTTTGCAGCTCTGTACAGTTAGCTCTTATTTTGCATCTGAATGTGGAAAAAAGCTGTCAGCATCTCCCCTCTCTGCCACACAGAAAGATCATTTTTAAAAGTATGATTGTTTTCATGATCACTGAAGACTTCGATCCTTTACAAATACTATCACTATCACTAGCTCTCAGCAGATGGTAAAACGTTCCTCTGTGTCTGACTTTTATCACCAGTGTAAATGAATATAATGATTTTTTCCCGGCTCATTAGCAATAATATCAGGTATATTTTTCTCTTACATTACTTGCTCTGCATTACTATTTGTGGTCCACCTTACCCATTGCCCCTGCTTCGTGAATGGGATTTCTTTTTGGCTCATTTGCATGTGCAAAAACTGATCAACCCTTCAGTGAATGAGGCCTAGTAGTAAATAACCATCTCCATCCTTTAAAAACAAGACCCCAAACTCAGAAAATACAGAGGATTTAAAAGCTTTTTGTGTATAATAACAGAGAGTACTTTTATCATGTAACCATCAAAACTTGAACAATGAGTGAGAATAAATGTGCTTTAGCAGTTGCTAGCCTATTTGAATTTACATTAATCTTTTAAAACACACACACACACACACACACACACACACACAGGTTATAAATTATTCAGTGTACAGGTCAGGAGTGTGTGTGGTGATTTGTCAATTGACTAACATCAGTGAGACATTCACATTTACAACAAACAGACAGAAAGAGCGATGAATCAGTCAGCAGCTTTCAGCACTGTTGACGCTCAAGCACACACACATTCACACTGCCAAATCATGCTCACACCCTAAAAACTTTCCATCTCTAACACACACACACACACGGTTTGTCATCACGTAACCACACACATCTGCTCCTGAAGGCGCCCTGCTCTTGTTTTGACATTTAGCTGCATTCAGACATCTTCCTGCTGCTGTCAGAGACGCTCATTTGTAAAGCAAATGGTATTCAAAGACGCTGATGAGCGCAGTGATGAACGAGATCATCCCCCAAAACTGCTGAGCGATAAAATACGCCAGCAGCAGATAAGGTGTGTGTGAGTATGTGTGTGTGTATGTGTTTAATAAATGAACTGTGATAGTTCACGGTCTGATCTGATCCAGAGCCAATAAAGATTTTATCATAAAAGGATCATATTTTTATTATTGAAATGTATTCAGGCTGATATTGACTCTTTCATCAAACAGATATCAGGAGCTTCCTCCTCTCATATGATGGATATGATGGCGGCTGATCGATTACATTTTAACACCGGCATTAATCAGGAGCAGGCTGCTTGTCTATGGAAACACCTTAACCTGATGCAACACTGATGAAGTGTGTATAAGTACACATTTATTATGTGCTGGAGCCTCATAAATTCTGCCCAACAGAGAATAAATGAGCAGAATCCTTGATAAACTGAACTCACTGGATAATAATCTGATGAATCTTACTGGTGTTACATCAACAGCTCATGCAAACCTAATCAAAGAAAAATGGGACACTGTGTAAAATGTTAATTTGAACATAATTGAATGGTTTGTAAATCATTTAAAGCTTATATTCAACTCAAAGCAGTGCATATCAAATGTTGACTAGAAAGTTTTTATTGTTCCTATATAAATGCATTTTTCATTTTAAATTTAATGCAGCAACATGTGTCTACAAAGTTGTCAGAGGAACAATCAAACAGATGAAAAGTTGTGTAATACTCAGAAATGTGGAAGAACATCTCCCAACCAACAAGGTTAACCTTCAACAGGTTAGTATCAAAGGACATTCAGAGACGCTGCGACTCTCAGAGGGAAAGACAGGAAGAGGTTCATCACTCTGTGAGAGACTGTGAGAGTAAACAGTTCAACAGTTTCAGAATAAAGTTCCTGAGTGTAAAAATGTCAAAAAGTGAGAGGATTTCGTCATCCACAGAAGAAAATATCATTAAAAAATTCAGAGAATCTGGAGAAATCTTTGTACTTTAAGAACAAGGACCAAAACCAAGACTGGATGGACCTGATCTTCAGACCCTCAGTCAGTACTGCATTAAAAACAGACAGGACTCTGTCGTGGAAATCACTCGAGGACTCAGAATCACTTCCAACAACTACTGTCTTTAAACAAAGTTGATAACAGCATCCACAAATGAAGGTTAAAACTGAACCATGCAAAGGGAAACCAGATATAAACATGAACCAGAAACTTCAGAGACTTCTCTGGACCTGAGTCCATTTAAGATGGACTGAAGGGAAGAGGAAACTGTGCTGATGAATCAAAATCTGACAGTCTGTTTGGAAATCATGGACACCACATCCTGTTTGAAAGAGTAGAGAGACCGCCCAGCTTGCCACAGCTCACAGTTCCATTCCAGCATCCCTGATGGTTGAAGGGAACATCAGAGTCCATATCATGGGTAGTTGACACATATGTGAAGGCTCCAATAAGGCTCTACAGGTTTAGGAGAAACATCTGCTGGCATCCAGACAAAGACATTTTTTTAGGGAAGACCTTGAAACTTCAGCAAGACAATGACAAACCACATTCTGCATTATTACGACAGCATAGCTAGGGTAGTAATTTCCACATTACCAAAAAGGAGGACACTTAAGTGAGAAAAGAAAAATCGAAACATACAACTCTAGTGTACTCCTCATGACAATACAGCAATTCTGAGATAGCCTGTTCATCACAAGACAATTTACCTATGATATATCATGATGTATGTGTAACAGAAGTGGAAAAAATATTCCTGAGAAGGCAAAAAGTATTTGTTCACAGTATTTGTATTCATTCAATACATCCATCTTGCAATGAGTTGTCTTTTTGGCATGTAAACATTCAGTTAAGGAGATGAGAGACACAGCTAGCACATGGGAACAGGGGGCGGCTTGTTTACATTTTCAACCAGAGAATTGAGTGACACTGCTTTCAGACAATCATTTTTAACTAAGGTTTTTTTTTTTTTTTTAAATTATTATTATTATTATTATTATTATGTTTTTAACATAAAGTCTTACTCCATTGGACAATATGCAGCATTGCATTCAGGTGCAACTCCATAAAGGAGGACAAATAAGCGTCTGGCTTGAGGCTGCCCCAGATGCCAGACAAGGCAATTAAATTCCGGACTGTCTGGCCTAAATCCGGACTTATGGCCACCCTAAGCATGGCTCTGTAGTACAAGAGTCCTGCTGATAAACTGGCCTGCCTGCAGTCTTAACTTGTTACCCATTGAAAAACATTTGAAGCATCAAGAAAACAAACAAACAAACAAACAAACAAAGGAGATCTTCAACTGTTGAACTTTAAAAATAGATTCAAAATGACTTTTAGGGGACAAAGCTTTAACACAGTAAGACTGCATGTTTAAAACATTATTTTTAAAATCATGAATCTTCTTTAAGCTCCACACTCAATCTCATTCTTCTGACATTATCCTGATGGACACAGCTCTTTGAAATCAGACTTTTCACACAGTCTTCCCTTTTATCCTCTGTGTTACAGCAGCAGACAGACACTGTGATGACATGTGAGTAAAGGTCATGTTGTTCAATATAAAGCCAACAGATACCAGTGGATTACAGCGCTGAGATGTTCTCAGTGTTTGATGATACAACAGGTTCAAAGGCTCCTGATGACCCTTCGGAGAGACCTGTCTGTGTTTATCCTGCAGAACATGAACCTTATCCTGCTGATCCACAGGATGCTGTTTTTTATGGGAGCATGAGGGGAATCCTTGATGCTCCAGCACCTCACCTGAAGCACCGACTCAGCGCAGCTTCACCTTTCAAACGTGTCTGTTGTTACCATCAGCACTTACTGAGCACATGTCTCATTTTAAAGAAGTGATCAATTCAAATATGCAGGATTTTATTTGTTTGCTCTAATCTACACTGCATTTGATCTCACTCAATCTGATTTCCCTTTGAGTTTCATATGGTTAATACTGAGTAGCAGAGCTGTGGGTGTAGTATGACTCTACTGTCACACAAATACCTGAAGACCATAACCTTGGTTCTCTGTGTCGAGAGGCTCCCTCTCCACACAGTTACATGTCCAATTAACAAGGACCGACCTCCACAGAGCAGATATTTCTTTCAGAAAAACCACTGTGTGGCCCTTTTGCAGGTATTTGATGATAACAATGATGGAGCAGGTTTCTGAGCTGCAATGACATGGAGAGAAAGCCTCTTCACTCAAAGAACCAAGGGGACAACCAAATCCAACCATTCCCCCTTCTATGGATACCTCCTCACCCAGTTACCACGCCCATCCTGCTGGACACACTGAAAGAATACTTGCCAACAGACTGTATAGTTCAGTTTTTTTTAATGATATATCTTTATTGGCTCGTTCGCAAAGGATATGTAACTGGATAGAGGGACAGACTTGGTCTCACAGAGCCCATTTAGGGACTCTCAATGATAAACTGTAAACCTTTGAGTGTACACCTCAAGAGTTGCGGGGAACATTTGTGGTAAGGCAGTCCACGGCAGCATCTTTTAACTATGTTGTGTGCAGTTACTAACACTGATGCTACAGCAGTAATGAACAAGGAGACAAAAAACCACAGGAAACAAAGTACCTGACATGAACGGATCAATGAATGTCGAATGGACAGTGATGGACATTTGAACCCCTTCAGGAGATGACCACAGTATGATTTAGTTTCGCCAGATGGGAAATATAGAATTATCGTACCAAAGACTCAAAATTATTGTATTTTGGGGAAAATCACACAGCATTGTATGATCAGCAGCTCCAACCTAGCTGTGTTACACTAATGTGTCCCCTTTAAACAAATGACAGACAGGAACTAATGAGCCACATCATGAGACCTTGAGGTCACCTACTTTTTTGAAACAGTATTCATAATAACTGACGAGGAACTGACTACGTGAAATTTATTTTGGACACAAAAATCAACTTTCGGCTCCTGTTCATCACCGTTCTCTTAAGCGGTGCTAATTTTTCTCAACTGACTTCCCGACTAAGCATGATTGACAGCCAATCACGCTCGTTGTTTGGAGACAAACGTCACTCAAACTATGACTGGATGGAAACATCTGTGGTAAAAGATGCATTTAGAGTACGCAAATAAATAACTGGAAAAATAAAGTATCTGGCAGACCGAGACACTCCCATTGCACCACACGTTCATGAAACTGTCAAATTACCGTACATTTAACTTTTTCTCTGGGCTATTGATCGTACATCATTATGAACTTTAGTCCTACATATAATGGTACTTAATTTTCATTTAAGAGTGATTTTATCTATTTAAATATGACATAAGTACAGGTAGAGAATAGTTTCTGATTCCATGGTTAGTAGCTCTAACATGACAAAAGATTAAATATTGAATCAATATTTGAATGTTCAACTCCGCCACTCAAGTGCTTCTTTCTGTCTTTGTAGTGATCAGTAATCTCTGGATATGCTCTCACCATCTCTGCTGCCCTTGCCTGAATTGCAGTTGGAAATGGATATAATATTTGTGTTGTTTAGCCTAACAATTTAGCATGCCAAAGGAAGCTCACATTTTCACCTCAATGTCAACAAGGCACAGACTGATTTGATATGACGTGTGTGATCCACTTGCCTCTGTTGCCAAGGGGTCTTAAAGGGATTTCGACCAATCATAGCCAAGTATTTAACCCAGCTGGGTAACATGATCTCATAGGCAACATCATCACTTTAGACAGTGTTTTAAGTGCAATCAGGCAGTCAGGGCTCTGTCAATCATGCATCCAGCAGGCCGGCTCTAATGCTTAACCCTGTAATCAGAGGCTGTTAGAATATCTCGTGTCCCTCCTGGATACCGTCCTTGCTTTTCGTGTTGATATCCTCAGACTGTGAAAGAAAAGGAAATATTTCATGCCTTGTATTTCTGAGAAAAAGAAGGAACATTAAAAAATATCTGTTGGTCTGTGGGTTGACCTTCATTGTGAATGTGGACATGGCGGTTGTTGTGATTAATTTCCCAACACTTCCTTGTATGGTTGAAGTAATAATGGGGAGTAGCAACAGGGTCAACAGTGGAGGCCTTGGTATTGATTTGGTGTGAGACTTTGCTTCCAGAGAATGCAGAATCACACTGAACACAAAGAGGAAGGTTGTGCTGTGTGAAAGTGTGAAATCAATGATGGACTCAATATTAAACACTACAGCCTGACACACAGACACTGTTAATACATCAGGACAAGAAGACGCACTGCCAACAGGTGATGGACACTCAATACAGGACTTTAAACTACATGAGCATTAAGGGGAAATGGGGGTTAGGGCATTACTGCCTCAGGGTGGTATTATAACACATTTTGAAAATCTTCTGTGGGTATCACCTTAACATCAGGGACAGCACAGAAGCACTTCATTGTGGGGAAGTTTAAGCTAAATCATTAAACTAATGTGAAGACTCCAATTTTCACACAATCAAAATGTCGAAAGTGAAAGATAACAGAAATTAATGCCTGGACTGACATCCGATTAGCTTAAAAGAGAGAAAATATTTTGACTAAAAGCAATGACTGAAGTATCATGACCTTGTACCGACTAAAACTAGACTTTTTATCAGCTAAAAACCATAAAATCAAACCTATAAAGGGCACAAAAAACTTTTTTCCTTCTCTTTTTCCCTCTGTTCAAAAAAATGTAGTGTTGCTTCGTTGTGCGTTGGGACTGAAGGCGTACCCACTTTGCACTGAGCTCTATCTCACCTCTTAGGAATACTCACTTCCATAAATACTCATTCACCGTGTGTTATTCCTTAGTTAGTCAGGTGGTCATTATGTTATGGCTAATTGGTGAATAGTTCCAAATAGCTATGAAGTAAGACACCCAACTGCATTACAACAATATGTGTCTTGACTCTCATCATATCAATCCTGTTGTATATCCCGAGTGTATCAAAGTAGGATTTTTCCATCACAATGACATGAGGGAATGTAAAATGGGTTGCATCCAGTATCTATGATGTAAGAGAACCAACAATTTACCGGTATAGCCGAAGCTAAATATAATTATGGTTAAGTGCATTATTCATTTAAGTTTCTGAAAGAGATTGACCCACGCTAAACCCTCTGCTGCCTTTACTTTCGCTGCTCTCTTTGTTAATCTCTCCTGTCAGTCCCCAAAGTTTACAGAAAGGCTGGGCTACATTAAATTGATGCAGTACCCCATTAACTCTACATTAACATGAGGCACATCATAGAACAAAGACAATCTGTCCTGATTGTGAGGAGAACGTCTTTGTAAGCGGGAACAGAGGAATTACTCTGCCGCACTGATATCCAAAAGCAGTCCCACAGGAGGGCTGGACTGACACTTTCTATTACTCCAAAGAAACTGTCCTCAGAGCAAAGATACTATACTGCTTTCTTTGAATGCAGGCTTTTTACAAAACAAAAGTCTCTGCCTCAGAATTTAATACTGTGGCTGATCACTTGAACTTTATGCTGCTATAACACTTGCTCGTATTGTAAACCTCACTCATGACATCAGTGCTGGTCCCCTGGTTCTTAGGTCTCGATTTTAATCACAGTGCAGTGTTTGCTATGAGCTCACCTGACCTGTTCAATCGATGCTGCCAGTTGTAAATCCACATTACACAGGCACACTCACTTGCCTCATGGAGGAGACGATGACCAGCCTGGTGGAAACCACCCTCTTTGAGGAGTAGTGACATGATTTTATCCGCTAAAAACCATGAACAGTTCATGTTGGTACAACAATTCACATGCAACAACACTGCTAAGGTCACTGTGCAGTTCATAGACTATCACATCCGCCAAACTGCAAAGTCCCTGATTTTAATTCAAAAGAAAGGTCAGACACTAATTCTTGGTACAGTTATAGTCACCAGGCTATAAAATGTTATTTGTACCTTGCTGCTAAGTCTGACTGAAACTGGCCCAAACATCCTGAGTATGCTCAGGAGCTGGCATGCTGGGAAGCTGGGTGGTTAACAAAACTTCAATCTGCAAAGAAAGGATGTAAAAAGGCAAAACTGAATGAACACAAGGTATAGAGCTGTAAAAGTGATGGTGTTATTAGCATCCTGTTCGCCACTTGCTAACATGCTTTCACAATTGTTCTAGCACATGCAAGGTCAACCAGAGAACGACCAGTAGTAAAGAGCTAAAAGGGGGCATGTTGCAGCCTACCTTGGCAAAGGTGGCTCTACCTCCGTCAGTGATTTGATTCTTGTCAGCTGGGACAGCGACGGTAGTCCAGCTGAATCGCCCAATCAAGCTGTAACTGTAGCTCAGCTTAGTTGTGCGTGTAAACATACTGATGGTTTCCCTCATTGCCTATGAAGTTAAATCCAGACTTGTTTGGTCTTGGAGTTAAAAGGTAAAGACATTGCTTTGGCAAACTCTGTTTCATCACACCGTTTATGGATTAAGTGCTTTGCCATTTTACAGCAGTGACAACAGCTGTAAACTCTCTCTCCATTTTTGTTTTTTTGCTGATTCATTTTTTAGATTGCTTTCACCAGAGTTTCTAGTTTTCTCACTCATATCATCTTTATCTGGAGAGAGCTGGTGCAGTCTTCCTTTTGTGATCCCTCTCTAAGGTTGGCTTTTTCTTGTGTGTCGTCAATGTTATCTCAGCTGCAAGGTGGTCACCCCCGAACTGCTCCCATGTATCACGGCCTTTCATGGGATGTATTCATCACTGCTTTCAATACAGCTCTCAGAGGAGTCATTCCAGGAGATAATTTGCAGGTATTTCTTCATTAGCTGGAGAAGAAAAATACATGAGCAATTATCTGTGAATATGTCTAGGTTTTGAATCACCAATGCAGCCTTTTGTTAAAGCCTTGCTGTTTCCTTTTTTTCTCTGAACACATAATACCTCTCAGACAAGGTAGCGTTGAGCTTAAAACATACTGTATTTCTGATGTAAGAGTTTCACTATCCCAAATGCTTTTGTTCTGTGAACTGTAAAATAAAAGTTTTCTGTTATTCCCCTCCAAACATGGTACACCTGGGTCATCAGCCACATCAAGGTTTGAGATTTCAGGGCTGCAATTGTCTATGAATCTGAAAATTAAGGCTTGTACTCTGTAATAGAAAAGTAATGTAGCTACCACTTTCTATCTTACCACACTGTACCTGCAAGCAAGGTGATTGCTTTTTGAGTGTAAGTCCTCTCTCCTCAGTCCCCTTCCTTTGAGCTCTTAAATATAATTGGTATTTAAAGGCACAGAACACTATGTAATAAGGCCAGTAAAGTTAATATTGATGTCTGTAAAAGCAGTTCATGACCAAAAAGGCTAAAATCCTTGTTAAATTGCCAGCAATGCTGTGCCACCAAGCTAAGTCATGTTGGTGTGAAAACAAGTTAGCAATCAATGTTATTCATATGGCACCCACCTTCATGGGATACCATGTACAGGGAAAAAAAAAAATTCTACTGTTATAATGTATAATAATGATGCTCCAGGTCGTAAGTCAAAAACCGTCAATGTTCTGACTAACTGTGGTCATTTCACTGCTCCCCGGTTGATGAAATACCACACAGACTAAAGATGAGATACCAGGCCCTATTTCAGGTTAAAAAACACATCAGAACACAGCTAACATTAGCATTCAGCCACTTGAACATTATATTACATTATTCAAAAATCATAGAAACGGCTGGGACAGATAAACATTTACATGGGTAAACTATTATTAAACAAATGACTCCTTTGGAAATGTTCATGCTTATGTTGCTGTCTGTTTTTACATTAGAGTAACCATTGCATTTACCTGTGTACCAGCCATTAAGCAGGTAGCTGGTACACAAACAACAGTGTTATGGGTTAAACTGCGACCCTGTAAACTAGCAACTTTGGGCTGAATGATAATGTGGTTGTCACAGGAACAGGCTTGAAATCCCCAATTCACATTCAGTTTTAACACTAGTGCTTGCCCGCACAGTAATTAACCGCATTGTTGGCTAGCTAATGTAACCTAAAAGTTGACATCAACATGGATATACTTTCAAAGGAATAAAATCATCAGTTTGCTCAAGCACATTCACTCTGGTGTGTCCGTCATTTTTGAATGTAAATGTAAAAAGGGAGCAGCTAAAGGCTTCTGTTAGCTGTGCTCTAAAGTAAGCAAACAGGCTGTTAAATGTATTTTTTATTTAAAATATGATCTGGTCTCTCTTGGTTGTCTCTGTCTTCAGTCCGTGTGGCTGTGCAGGCCCTGTAAATATTAGCAATATTAAATATCTAAGTTCTAAAGGTTGCTATGAAACTTTGTCTGATTGGGGAAAGGATTCAGTTTATTGGTTTGGAACAAATCTTTGCAGGCAGCCTCCATTTATGACAAATATTATTACCTTAGTTACCTCTGACACTTGTTTGTTATTAAGTAAGAGCACAAAAGTCAACTGTCACCTTAGCTTATTAGCAGCAATAAGACATTGTTTCATGCCACAATTGCTTATATGTAAACCTAGTAAAATGGATTTCTGTAGCCTTGCACAATGTGTGCATCTATACTACTATACTCTCAAGATGAGGAAACAGTTTTAGTTAGTTATGAACCAGGAGATCAGTTAGTTCTGAGTTTTCTTCATATTAATGGAGGCCCGCAGGCTAGCTGTTTCCTTAATTCGCATAAACATCAGGGTACTCGCTAACTCTTGCCTCAGCGGTTGTCAGGTTATGTAAATTGGTTGTTCTGGGACAAATAATATGAATAGTACTATCTAGTGCTTCCGGGCGTTTGCTGCCTGTGCCATAATCAAAGTTGGTTGGATGTGACTGGTCAGCAACAAGACACAACAAAACTACAACTAACAATAAAATCCAATAAAACAGTGACAGAGGACACCACATAATTGTAATTTGTATTGGATTCATGCACTGTGGTCCGGCTTGGGGCTGCTCAAAGGTTACCAAAGGGGCAGATTTGGCCGCCAGTGCAATGGTCCACTGTCCCGAGGTGAACTTCTTGATCTTATGCTCGGTCAGTTGACTGAAATTACAGATCGAAACAATCAGCCTGAAATGACACTGCCCCGCCTGCTGTGTTTGTTTGTATGTTACAAACTGGAGATTGATTTCCATCTTTTCATCTCAGCCCCGATGGAGAAAGCTTCTTTTTTTTGGAGTGAACCGTCGGTGAACATGAACTGTTCGATCAGCTGACGGACTAAAGGGATCGATAGGTTGAATCAGACTATCAGTCAAATGAGCCAGTGGACTGAACACACATCCTACACACACGGCGGGACACAGAGGCAGACATCTTCTTTCATTTTTTGGCCTTTTCCCTCGATCGACAAATCCTAATAAACTGCACACCTGAAGAAAACAAAGAGCTGCAGAGCAGTAATGGATTGTAAAAACAGACGGAGGAGAGAAGAGAGGGAGGAGGAAAGAGGAGAGGAAAAATCCATGACGGTTAGAGAGGGAAGCGTACTACACGGGGGCCATGCTAATGAAAGGGCATTTATCACCATTAGAGCGGTGATGGACGCTGGCACATCTGTCCCTCCCCATGGAAGGAAACCTGGGCTACAAAGCCTTTAGCAGAGAGAGAGAGAGAGAGAGAGAGAGAGAGCACGCTCTCCACAGCAATAATTACCTTTCAATAATCAAAGACCATCAAGAGAAGAGCTGGCACGCAACCCATCAGTGTCTCCATGGAGTCATCAAACACACAATTCACTCACACACAGTCAAGAAACACACACATTCATTTGCTAAAAGCCAAGGTAATATTGCTTTAACAATGCAGAGAGATGCCAGGACATGCAGGGGGGAAGAACGCTGCAGGTGGAGAAGTGGAGGGAGTGGGGAGGTCAAGTTAGCGTGTGCAGAAATCATTCCTCTGAACAACTTTACATCATCACACGTGCTGCCTTTAATTTTGCTAAAGAGATCAAAGAAGTTAAGGTGAGCTCATAATTTGGTCACATTTCTTAGAGGGGTTTACACTGAGCATGTGCACGACGTCCCATCTATGTCATAATTTTGCTCTGTCCAAGCAGGAAGAGCGTTTGGAGCATAGCCAGCTGAAATCTGCAGAGCTGGGATCACACAAACATCAACTTTACTTGGAAAAACTGTGTTGACTTAACTCAATTTTTGTTAACTTTTCACGTACACTTATTATAAACAAGTTAGTTGTACTTTTTGGTCATTAGAGCCAAAGCACTAAATTTTTTTAAGTTGAGTCATTTTAATCAAATGAAGTGAGAAGAACTTATTTATATTTCCCCAGTGGTTGAATGCTGAATTTCTGTTTATCTATGATATTTTTGTTGGTTTATAAACCGTAAAGAAAAATAGGGAAGGTGCTTGACAATGCCCATAAAAACATGTTGATCAGCCAAAAGTGTTGTTATAGATGTCTTTATAAACACAGTGATCCAACAGAAGCAGACAGAAATATCCATCAATGACATTCATACAAATATTCAGCAAACAGAGAAAGCACAGATGAACTTTTATTGTTTTTTAATGGGCACTGACAGAAGCAGCTCATTGATGGTTTCGCAATGTTTTCTCCCCTCACATTACATTGCTTGGGATGTCTGCTTGCCTTCTTAACACATAATTTATATTTGCCAAAGTACCTCTTGACTCTTTGATCATGCTGGTGTTTTTGGGGATGACTGGAAATTTGGGACAGGAAATAAGGTTGAGCTTTTTCATCTTTCTTCTTTGACGTCACTTTTTTCTAAAGTCTCAGACCTTCAAAATCTGCACCAACTGAAGGTGATTTGAACAAGTGATCATCTTGATGTTGTTGTTATTAAACTTTTTTGAAGATTTTTCAAAATGAGAAATACAAACAAGGAAACTTATCCACACTCACTGTCCTTAAAAAGACAGTGACCAAATCAGCATCTTTAGAAAAGAATGAAAAAGCTAAAATAAAGAACTAAACTGAGAGTTTTTGGTGAAACTGATCCACAAACATTTACAAACCAGAACAATTTAATAGTTCAATGATCTCATTTACATGTTTTTGGTCTGATTGACTCAAAATTCTGTTTATTTCACTTCAATAAACTCAGCAGAGTCTCCCTCACTGTGGCCTAACCACAGTCCAGCATGTAGCGGCTCAGTGAATGTGGTCTGGACTCTGTGGAGAAGGGTCATGGTTTCAGAGACGCTGTAGAAGGACAGAATACCTGCTTTGTGATCCAGGTACACTCCTACTCTGGAGGACGGAGGACTTGAGACACGAGTGCCGACTTTGTTGTGTATAAATTCATACCTGTCTTTATAACACTCTAACATCCAAGATTTGTCATTGAATCCAAATATACAATCATGTGAGTTTCCTGCTCTGCTGATAGTCTTGTATGCAACTGCTACATCAACCCTGTCCCCTCTCCAGTCCACCTCCCAGTAACAACGTCCAGTCAGACTCTCTCTACTCAGGACCTGAGTCCAGCCAGTGAATCTGTCTGGGTGATGAGGATAAGACTGTTGTTGTCCTGTTTTTGTTGCTCTTCTGTTTCCATCAGATAATAACAGCTTTCTGTGTGCTGTGTTTGGATCCAGTGTGATTCTTTGTGAATATCTTAAGAAACCAGCTCTGGTCTTGGGTTCTGGTTCTGGTGGTTCTGACAGTAAAACATCCACTTCAGTCACTGCCTGTGAGACGTTTGTCCACGTCTCTGTCAGAAGATCCTGGAGTTTATCTCTGAGCTCTGACTCAGCTGCTGTCACCTCCTCAGAGTATCTCAGAGGACGGATGTTGATCCTGGATGAGTCTGCAGGTTGGCCTGGTCCTGACAGTGAGGGGTAGCTCTGCAGAAACTGGTTGTGGTCCTCTGTGAGTGAGAGCTTCAGCAGATCAGCGTCTTTCCTCTTCAGCTCAGTGGTCTCCTGCTCCAGTTTCTCCTGAAGCTCTTTGACTCGACTCACTTCACGTTCCTGCTGGGATCTGACCTGCTGCTTCACGTCAGAGCGGCGTTTCTCCATGAGACGGATCAGCTGGCTGAAGATCTCCTGGCTGTGCTCCACTGCTTTATCAGCAGAGCCGTTGATAGCCTCCACCTCCTGTTGGAGCAGCTTCACATCTTCCTCTCTGTCCTGGATTCTCTGCTGGATGTTTTCTCGACTCTCCTCCAGATCGTTCAGCCTCTCAGCTCTTTCTGCTGCAGCTGAGACTGTGTCGTGGCCTTTGTGTTGGTCCACAGAGCAGAGATAACAGATAGACTGTTGATCAGTGCGGCAGAACATCTTCATCACCTCATCATGACGAGAGCAGATGTTCTCCTGGAGCTTCTTGGAGGGCTCCACCAGCTTGTGTTTCTTGAATGACGGTGATTCAAAATGAGGCTGGAGGTGAATCTGGCAGTAAGAAACCAGACATTGCAGACAGGACTTGACAGCTTTTAGTTTTCTCCCACTGCAGACGTCACAGGCCACATCTTCAGGTCCAGCATCAGAGGGATCACCAGGAGCAGCTTGGAGTCCGCTCTTCTTCAGTTCCTCCACTACACCTGCTAACATGGTGTTTTTCATCAGGACAGGCCTCGGTACAAAGGTCTGTCTGCACTGAGGACAGCTGTAGATCTTCTTCTCATCCTCTTTATCCCAGTAGGTTTGAATACAGCTCATGCAGAAGCTGTGTCCACAGGTAACAGTCACCGGATCCTTCAGTAGATCCAAACAGATGGAACAAGAGAAAGATTCACGGTCCAGCTGAACTCCTTTCTGCGCCATTTCAACTCTCACTGTCGACGACTGACTGACTGAGTTTCATTTCCTCAGAAGTGAAACTAGTCTGAGCTCTGATCTCAACATGTGTGTGTCAGCAGGATCAACTCAGCACACGCTGGTTACACCCAGACTCAGACTGTAGATCTGAAGGGGAGGGAACAACGAAGTGAAAAAAACAAGGAAGTGAGTGTGCAGAGGGGAGTGAGCTCTGTGAGAGACCAGGGAGGGGAAATCCTGTTTTTCTACAAGCCAGGAGGAGGAGCGGCGATGTGAACTTTAGACTCTCAAACTCCAACAAGCAGAAGTTATTAAAGCTGCAGCCGTCCTGAAGATCAACTGGACCAACATTTATTCACCTTATATAAACCTCATCGACCACAGAAAGACTTCAGTGTGACCATTGTTTTATATCCACACATATTTACATATACACCACATATAAACCCTATCTCTCTCTCTCTCTCTCTCTCTCTCTGCCTTCCCTCATTCTGCTGTCTTTCTTTTTCTTTCCTCTCTTTCTTCTTTTCATACCCTGATTTGGGCTTTTCGGGCATCATAATGTCTAACCCCCAGGTCATTCAATCTGGGCTCACTCACTGATGTTACACTTGTCACCGGTCGCTGTCGGACGGACTAAACCATTTTGTGCCTCCAAGAGGGTTTCCCCAGAATGTCTAACATGTTGGGAGGACTGTGACGTAGAGTTTATTGTCTCAGTTATATATATATATTTGTAAGAAATTATGACATTAATTAATTGGAGGGCCCAATTCATTCGAAATAAAAACGTCACCCAAAAAAAAAAAAAATCAGGATTTTCATGGGTCCCTCTCCCTACTCGGGCCATGCCAGCAGCTGTCTCCTCTCTTTGATTTTGTTCTTAAAAAAAGAAAAAAAATGTTTAATGGCTGCCAATTCAACTGAGGAGTGTTCTTATTTGGTTTTAAGGGTATTATTTTAATTTTCCGTGTCTTTACAGCTCATGTTTTGAGTTAATTGCTTCAAAGTAAACAAATAAGTTTAAACTGAAATTCAGTAAACAGCTACAAAAATAAGTCACACTTAAAGTAGATAATTGAGCTCTAGTACTGCACACTCAAAATTAAGACGTGAACCTTGATACTGAACACTTGGAATAATTCATTTGAAATGTGTATTGCAAACTAAAGATCTATAAGTACCATGCACTCAAAATAAATACATTAGCGTATATATTGATTACTCAAAATAATTAAGTTAGGGTTAGTACCATGCACCTCAGATAAATAATTTATGTGAACTTGTGGAAGTTTATTTACTTGATTTCTTTAAGGCAACAAGTTTCTTTTTTTTTTTTTTTTTCTTTTTTTAAGTAAACTAAACTCATTTTGTTGTACAGTGTGGGGACTAGATATTCATGCAGAAATTTGGAATTAACACACTGACAGGTGTTATATTACAGGTCAACAGATCCAAGAAAGATGTTACTCTGCATTATGTTATGTTGATCAGCTGTTCCTGTGTAAGTCCATCCTTGTTTTTTTGCATTAGGATGATTGGGAGGAAGCTAAAGCATTAAGCCTCTTGAGGTACTTTGTGGTGTAACCCCACAGACAATGTTCAAATTGTAGTTGTGTATGAGCTTCCAGTATCCATCATGTTACGTATAAACTTGTGATTATATATCCTAGATAAACTTCTCATTGTCCATGTTGTTGAGTTACCTCTGAACTCTTTGATTGAGTGGTTGATTGATTGAAGACTCTGCATTTTAGATCTGGTTTACAAACAAGGTATTTGATTTTGAACCTGACAAGGTTCACTATACCATAGGTGCTTGACCTCCTGTGTGGAACGATCAGCTCTGTTTAGCTCGGCATGTGTTGGAGGATGGAGCATCGATTACAGTCTTGGCGTGTGTCTTCAGGGGAAAGGAGAGTGGAGACACTTCTGGGACGGAGCTGAAATGTGCCACAGTGCTCCCTGTGGAAAATGGAGCGTTGATTTGATGAGGAATGTGTTCGTGCGGCTGTCGTGGCTGAACCCAACACACATATCCTGTGACTCTCGGGGACTAACAGTATTCATACCATATATATGGTGAGATCTTTCAGTCCACTCAGTAAGTTTTACTCAAGACCTGCCAAGTGTCAGCACAACATTTTCCTTGTTTGATGCAGAGTTTGAAGAAACATATCAAGATCTACCATGTCAAGTGGCAACAAGTTTGGCTAAGCTGCACAAGATAATAAAATAGTTGTAGTGAGGTAAACGAATGATCTCTACAGGTATTTCAAAAGTATCTTTACTGGATATGAGCAGAGAGTTTCCCTCCACCCCTCCTCCCATTGTTGTGCAGAAACCCTCACCACTTTAGTGAGAGGACCGCCCTCTCTGATTACAGAGGAACATGTTGAAAATCTGATTGTAGGTGGTGCTGATGGTGTGATCTATCCGGCACTTTGCAGTGACCTGACCTGGCACGAGGATCTGTCATTCACTAGACCACTGGGATCTAGAATTAACACCACATTAACCTCTGTGCGTTCTGCCATGTCTCTTCTTTACTACTCTTGGACCTGGCACAGCCTGAGCTCTCTGCTGGGCCCTCTGGAGGAATCCTCCACTGAGACATGGAGTGCAAAGAAAAGCCTGTATAGTTTTCTCTATCCCACCACCTAGACCCTCCACTCTCAGTCATAAAAAAAAAAAAAACCTGCTTATGAAGTGAAAAAATAAACATCAGTTTTGGAGCTTGTTTGGTGAAAGCTCTTTTAAATCCTGTCTGGATTTGAGGTAAGAGTTCATAATTGTAAAGGAAATATAAGACCCAGCCTAGATTGGAGAATTTACAATACATATAGATTCATCCCTTTTCAATTTTTATCATTATCATTTTTTCTATCATTATTTTCCATTACTGCTGGGTTTGTTTAATGTTAGTTTGGTAGTTTCTGACAACACAGTAATTCTTTTATAATGATTGAATATAGCGTACACTTACACCAATGTTTGTGTGTGGTTTCAATCCTGCAGCACAGCCTCAGGATGCTGGACTTAGTCATTCACAGTAAGACAAGAATATTAGTGTGTGTTTCCAAATCAAATCAGTCATATATAGATATTCTCATATAGCAGAGTTTGTAGTCTGAACTAGATTGAAGCCGGGCAGGGACTCTCCGTGGTTAATAGAACGTTTAAACCGGAGCTCTCTTTCTAACACAGGCCGGTGTCGTTCACACTCATCTTCATTCCTGCAACACTCTCTTTTTATAAAGCCAAACCAACATTCTTCTCAATTCCCTTTTTCCAATATCTGTCTGCGTCTCTCTCAGCTTTAATAACATTTGGAGATATACGCCGGCCCTGAAGAGGGAGGAGCGCCAGCCGATAGATACTTTCAGAATAGGAATTGAGATGTATTATTCACAGCCTCCGCTATAGGTTTTAAGATATTGCAGTTTATCTTAATATCAACTTGCCTCAACTTCATCACCTCGCTGCTTCCAGATGAGATTTCATCTGGCGTCTTGTAAGAAAGTGTTCTCCTTTAAACACCCAGACTTTTTTCTTCTGTTAGATCTGCTGTTTGAATGCTAAGCTGCAGAGACCTCAAAGAACAATAATAGCTCTGTGCTACAATCTGAGATGGTTAAAATAATTAAATCTCTACTTTATAAGAACTGAGCGAGTGGGTGTATGAAGTTAAAATATATATTTCAAGGCTTTGCTGTAATTACATGAGAGGATGTTGCGAGCACAGGAGATGGAGCGGCTGCCCTCGCTTTGTTTAATCCGTGCCCTCATTTTCATAATTTTGTGCAAACTAATTGAGTAAATGAATTAATTAACAGGCCTGAAAGTTAATGAATTGTGTACACACTTTTTAAAGATTTCCATTCTGCAGCTTCAGCGGGATGTGAAAGCTCTTGATTGTAATGATTTATTAAGCCTGACTTCTTTTGTACCACTTTTACAACATTAAACAACCGAGAAACTCTGTAGATACTGCTAAAATGATTAAAATCTCTGACTCTTGTGTTCAAACAACCCCATTATTCTGTAGTTTTGCATACTGGGTATTTAATATCATTCATATGAAAAGTCAGTTGTTGGAGCACAAAGTGGCAAACAGTCCAAGAAATGACAAGAAGTGATGGATATCATCCTCGCCATGTGACTTAAACATCAATATCTCTAAAATGCAGATCCCAAACCCTGCAGTTTGTGGGGGTTTAGAGAGTCAGCAGCTAAAATGAGGCATTTTAGACAGAAATGTTAAAATATTGATATTTCAATACACCACTGTAAGAAATTTGAGGCTTTTTTTTTCTCCATATGAAAATCACATATAGCTATTAAAGCAGAATAAGAAAGGAAGATATATTGAGTCTGAAAGACGTAAATTGGACCAGACAAGGGCATACGTTTTCCGTAACCTGATGCTATTAAAGAATTGAAACATTTGACAATTCAATTTATGACTTTTTATAACTTCAGTCCTTTTGAGACTCAAATCAAGAGCGTGAAAGAGATTTCATTTACTAGTTACCTTGCATCATTGGCTTATTGCATGATCTTGACCTGACTTTACGCTGTTGGTGGCTTGTGTGCAGAGATTAAAGGCAGTTGTAGCTGTTTTGTTGAATTTGTTGAATGTGTTCTAGTCTCAATACAGATCCATAGAATCACCAGGAGACTCAGGTTTGAGTTTCACCTTGGAGTTTCAGAGTCAAGGTTTGCGTCATGTCGGGCAGCTTAACCACTGCTGAAAGACTTTTCATAATATTATTAAAACAGTCTTTCTTTGCTTGAACAAAGTCACATTTACATTTTTAGATTTTCACATTTACAAAAAGTGAACATGAACCTCTAAACAGGTGCATTTGGATACAATGACCATTGAGCATGCACAATAATTGTACTGCAGTTTGACAGAGGTGGTGAAGTCAAACCAGCCAGTGAGTCCATGGCCCTGAGTGATAAAGAAAGAACTGCTGAAAAATCCTCCAGTGTGGTTATTTCAGGTTTTTAAAAACATCTGTGTTCAACTGTTAGATTTTTGATTTTCCAAGAGAGGTTTCCAAATTTTTATTCTTAAAAGAAAGAAAGAGAGAAACTTTCACAACGTTTAGAAAATTACATCAGTTTACTTTCTCACCTCCGGTTAAGTTGGAGTTTCACAGCTCCTAAAAACTGTTCAATAAAAAGCCTTCATTTCTCCCACACAGAGCAGAAGACTCTAAAACATTGATCTGCTAAGGTCAAGGAGCTTTCGAAAGGGAATTTGACACGACGACCCAACAAACCGATCTGGATACACTGCACAGAAACGGAGCATTTTTTTTTATTACTTAGTCTTTCAGCAATGACACCCTGACTTCTCCTGGACAGATACCTCACTACACATCCAACAACAAAAGCTTTTACTTTTCAATTGCAGAGAAACTCAAGGACGATCGAAACGGATTTTGATTGAGCAAGAACACACAAATTTGCATGGCAGTGCCAAATATGCACTTAAAGACCGTTTTGAGGTCACTACCTCTCTTTACATCCTGAGTCTTTCATTTTAAGTAAATCCAAAAGCATATTTTCAACCACTGAGTCACAGCAGAAGCACGACTTTGAGCACAACATGAAATTTGATTAGTGTTTGATGCAGAATATCATGTTATGCCCAAAACACACCACTGAATAATCGATGGACTCAGCACAACCTCCCTGAGACCTGTGTCTCACTCAGTCCAGATTGTTCTCCACTTAACAAGGAACATATGGACACACATCCTTGGATTTCCTTTACACCACACACCCCTTTAGTAATGGCCCTGCGTCACTGTGGGAGGAAGTCCTGCCTGATGTTTCCTCTCTGTGAGGTTAACCTTCTGCATAAACACAGCTCTGTGATGTTTACCCTCCTGTGTACACACACACACATATTACTATACAGCTTCAATGTGCCTGCCACACGTGTAAGCTTAAATATCAGGGGACTAAACTGTGTTTGTATGACAGTGTGGGCCCTAAAGCATACACACAGACTGTATGTTTACACAGGTTCGGGCTGGAGGACACTGTGTTCGTTTCCCTGACTGTGAGGATGGAAAAGACGAAGGTTAAATAAACCAGGGCACACCAAAACCATGGCAGCAGTACTGAAAATAAATCATGTTGGGTCTGAGTTTGTCAAGCTCTTGGACCTAACACAGAATCTCGTTTCCAGTAGTTTCCCTCATAAAAAAGATAACTTTATTAATAGAGTGGAAATCAGATTGTCACAAGTATTCACATTACAAGAAAATGGTTAAAGTTGCCACCATAACCTAGAGCTACAAAGTGCAGACAGTGATTCTGAAGTGTATTTTAAGGTGCCCAGTGCCTGAACTGGGAGCTCTGGGAGGCAGCAATGGAGTGGTTCAAATAACTACCAAGGGATCTTCAGACTAACAGAGCAGATGGTTTAAGGGGGTCCAGAAGGAAATTTCAGGATGGAGCATTTGCAGAAAAAAAGCAACAGAGTCGTAAGAGCAAACTACCAAATTGATAAGAGACGTAAACACGGCCAAACTGAG